AATAGAGGGTATACACATTATTATTATAAATAGTACAAGAGGTCTTAACCTTTATTTGAGTGAGTGAGAGGAGCTCAAGTTATGTCCAAGTGGTCTCTGATCCATTTTCAAATAAAAATATTTATAAAAAAATTTAAAAATTTGCCGTGTCCCCTGCCGTGTCCGTGTCCCCATTTTTTAGAAATTCCCGTGTCCCGTGTCCGTGTCCGTGTCCGTATGCGTGTCCGTGTCCGTGTCCGTGCTTCATAGGATCCATTTTTCCTTAGAAATGGCTTCAAAGACTGATTTTGTGATTCTGATGTTCATTTATGCCACCTTTGTGCTTATTTTTTTTGAAGTTGCTGCTATGAGTTACAGTGATCTCAAGTAAGCCCTCCATATATCTCATTTTTCTTGTTTTCTTGATTTGATAAACCACTTGGCTAATGTTGTGCATAGTGGGTGTTTGGGGTTTGCTTTTTTATGATTTTTTTTATTATTTTAGGAGTTAAAAAAAGTTTTAATGTGTTTGAGAAGTCGTTAAAAAAGCTTTCTTTTTTTTCTTTTTTTTTTGGGGGGGATGAAAAGTTGATGTGACATTTAATTTTTTTAGCTAATAACAAATAGTTTGGTGATTTTTTGACTTTTTTAATTATTTAGGTTCTCAAATAGACGGGTTGGTTTGGAAGGTGACATTTTGACTAAAATATGAAGTTCAAAAAAAAAAATAGTGCTTGGAAATGACTTTTTGGTTTTATACGAAAAAATGTACAAAACATAAAGAGAATGTGATGGAATTTTTGACTTTTTTGTATAACCTTTCGATTTTTCTAGTGACCTTTTGATTATTTTAGTTTCTTCCCAAACACCCAAGTGATTGAAGAAGCATGATTTGATCTAGTTAGACTCTTGATTATTTTCAACACATACTTGAATTCTATGATTCAATTTAAGTTGTTTATTTTGTAGATTATTGTGTTGAAAATTCATTAAAAAAATTAAATTAATCTTATAGTCATAGACACATAATTTAATTCCATCAGATTTATTTATTTATTTAAATAAATGGCTATTTTCAAAACAGTAATTATCGTTTATTGTCTAAGACAAAGATAATGAGATTATATAACTACAATTATTGAATCAATTTGTTTTTTATTTTATTATTTTATTATTATGAAAATGATCTATTCTACACAGAAGTTTACAAGATGAATAGTTCAAATTATTAGAGTGAGAATGCAGTTGATCTTTTTGTCATTTTTTTTGTATAGCTAACCCAACGTTTAATTTTGTGCTTTTTTTTATATTTATGTTTTAGTGCTTTCGTAGCAGATATGGTGAAGGAAAATCAGATCAGGTATGATGATTTGGCCTTGGACAGGTAATTTTGTATGCCACACTTGAACAGAACTATTAGGACAATTACGGAGGATAAGTGTTTGTTTAGTGTCCGAATTGTGTGTGAAGTTCATCTATAAAAGCTTGAAAAGCAACTTTTTATTTGTTTTTGTAATTTGTGATTTTGATATATTTTGCAGTAACCGTACACAAGAACTTGCCGGAATTGGAAGTCTAGCGAAAGGTTTCCGTCAATACTTGATTTGGGACAGAAGAAGAACTTTCAAGAGGGTAAATTAGACAATATATGAAGTTTATAGCTACCTTGATCAACCACGTGGAGCCCAGCAATTTTGTTGTTCTTACAACATAATAGTAAGGTGTTTGAAATGTTGTATCGGTTTCATGTAGAGATATCGTCATCTCCATCACCAGCACCAATTTAATTACTGAATTCCTTACAATCGTCATTACCACCACTATCATCATTGTTGTCTGTCTTCATGTCCAACCACCGTTGTTGTTTCTCAAGCTTCTTGTAATTTTAGTTTTTTCACAATATAAAATAATAGGCATTGGTGTTAATGCATGATATACTTTGTTTGATAAAGAAGGGTGGTGTGGATTGTTATATGGAAAATAAGTTTGTATATCAATTTTTTTTCTTATTTTACTATGACTACTTGAGGCATACCTTCCTAACTTTGATAATGCTATACTAAATAAGTGGTTTGAATTTAGGAACTTAAATTAAAACAAAAGATTTGCACAAATTAATATCCCAGACACACCACAGACACATGCTACAAAACAATTAGAGGTGGTTTAGATTACATTATTAGAGATATTGATAATATTGTTATAGGATGATAAAGGCTATGATTGAGAAATTAGATGGCTTTATTATAGTGTTTTGAAAAGTTGGTAAAATGTTGATTTTTTAACTTTTTTACTTTTTTAACAAAAAAATTGACTTTTTTGATAATTTTTTTGCGACTCTTTTTAAAGAACTTGATAAAAAGTTCAAAAAATTAGTTTTTTTTTTACTTTTTATTAAGTTCTCAAATTGCCCAATGTGTCCACGGTGTAAACTTCAACACTAAAGCCTAGTTCAAGGCAATAAAGAGTTTTTTTTTAGGTATGGGATCTATAAATTATATATATATATATATATGGTGTTTGTATCTCGGCATGAATAGTTGATAATTAGAGATCGTTTAGAAAGTAGGTTGATTTCTTGATTTTTTAATTTTTTTGATTATTTTTGCTTAGAGTTAAAAAGTCTGATTTGGGAAGGATTTTTGACTTTTTTATGAGAGAAAGAATGTAATGATTATGAGTTGGATGTGATATTTTGTCTTATTAGATTAAAAAATTTATTTTGTTTTTTATGGCTATTTTAGCTCAAAAAATCTCAAAATCAACTTCCCAAACGAAGACTTAGGCCTCGTTTGGGAACAGGCTAATTTAGTAACTTTTTGGCTATTTGGCTAAAAAAGTAGGTAAAAAAAACTTATATGTTTGGGATGACTTTTTGGCTAATTAAGAAAAGATGTGCAAAAAGTAGAGAGAAAAGAGAATCTTTGACTTTTTTGTATGAGTTATTGGCTTTTTGGTTAAAAATGTAACTTTTTGGCTTTTTGGCTAAAAAGGTAAGTAGTTTATTATGGATCTCAATTCCTTTTCTTTTTTTTTTTTTGGGGTAAACTAGCAGTAACTGATAGTTGAATTTAATTTCCATCAAGTTACATTGAAAATAAATCATAGTAAAATCGTAGTTAAAAATTATTTTTTGTGATATTTTTTGCATATGTTACTAAAAATTGACAATTAGTGATTTTTTTTTTGTCACGACTTTTATAAATTTTAAAACTTACAATTAGTGACTTTTTTGTGATTAATTTTTCAAATTGTCTCTGAAAATTAAAAATTAGTGACTTTTTTTGTGACGATATTTTTAAACTGTCATTAAAACTTATAATTAACGACATATTTTGTGACAAATTTTCAAACTGTCGCTGAAAATTAATAATTAGTGATGATTTTTTTAATAATATTTGATGAAAAATGCTATTAATTATTATAAAACCTATTAGACAATAAGTCTACCTATTAGGACCTCCACATAAATTTTTTTTTTTTTTTTTTTTGAGGTAGAATAAAGTTGATTTAATGTTTCCGGCGGAAAACATTTTTAAAAAAATATTTTTTTGTATTTTCTACCATTTGATATAACAGAAAATGTAAGTTGACGGAAAATATTTTTATAATCGGCTGAGAACAAATCTATTTGAGCCGAAATTTTTTTTTTTTAGCTAAACTGTACCAATGTTAGCACATTACTACCCTCACCATCATATCCACCATCACCATGTCACCACTATTAACATGCTATCGCCACAAGCCAAGGTTCTCTCCTTGCACTCTTGTACTTGCGCTCATCTTTACAGATCTTCGGGTCTATTTTTAGATCCAATTTTAATAATCCGAACCGTTTATATTTTATAATTTATTCGGTATATCATACCTGTAAAAAATCAAGTTGATCGGATATCAGAAAGTATATGTTCGGAAAACTGTTTATTAAATTCTTTAAAAAATAGCTTTTAGTTCAATTTTTCGAACACATACTTTCTGATATCCGATCAACTTGATTTTTTACAGGTATGATATACTGAATAAATTATAAAATATGAACGGTTCGAATTATCAAAATTGGGCCTAAAAGTAGACCCGAAGGCCTGTAAGGACGGGCACAAGTACAAGAGCTGCAAGGAGAGAATCCTCATTCGCTATCGCCACCATCACTGTACCCAGCGTCATTGCCGCCACTGCCCAACCAGAAAAAATAAAAAATAAAAAAAGTAATTATCGAAATAAACGGAGCGTAAGTCTTGCTGCATGGTTATGTGAACATTTCAGGAGCATTCAGTCGGCAATCTTTTTGGCTTGACCAAGAAATCTGATCTCCTCCGAGTCACACGGCGTTTTAACCGAAATAACTTCACACTTCAAACTAGTTCGTTAGAAGCTTGCCTCATTCTACTACAGGGATTGATGGTCCACCAATTAGCCCCCCAAGTGTTTGATTATTTTACTCAGTGAGTTTTTCCACCCTGCTGAATAGTGTTGTTCAAAAATATTGGTTAAACCGAAACTGATCTGGATCAGTTTAAATTTTACAGTTTTATTCGATTTTTTGTAAAGAACGTTTAGGGCTCCGGTTTCAATTAATTAAGAACCGTCGACTATGGTTCGATTTCCAGATTAAAACTCAAAGAACTTAATAGAACCGAAATATTCTATATTAGACAATACTAATGTAATATTTAATATATGATATAAAGAATCCGATTTGTTAATTTTTGGAGTACTTTTATAGGTAGAAAACAGCTTATTGAATTTCTACCTTAGAACCATACAACCAAACCAGAACCGAACTATTTTGTGGTTTGGTTCTGTTTTGATTCCAAAAGTTATACAGTTCATTTAGTTCGCAAATTTGTAGGTACACTGCCGAGCCATGCATATTTCGTGTTTTGTGTATTTGATTTATTTTCTTTACTATTTTGTGGACATAAAATTGAGATTGTTATTTCTAGATTGCTCTTAAGAGTTCGTTTGTCTGTTTTTCATGTTAGGCTAATCCCTGTGCTTTGTATTCATTGATCATCTCTTTGTAATAAAGCAAAAAACAATATATATATATATATATATGCACACACACTATAAACTGCAACGCAGAAAACAAAGTATATACATTACAGGCTTTCTTGTTTATCTAAACATGTTATTATCTGTATGTAATTGGGAACTCCTCGCATGTAGAGTAAGCCTGCGTACAGCTGACCCATCCCAGATTCCGCAGTGTTGAGAGTCTTGTGCACTGAGTTGCCTATTTGATTCTTGCAATGCACTAAAAACATTCCCATCAGCATAAATTGGCCGGTCTGGGATTTCTGGAACCTCAATGTCCCCTTCCAACATTTTCAAAGCATCCAAAATTGTAGGCCTCAAAGCCACCATCACATGAGCACACAAAATCCCCACAAGCACAAACCTTCCCATGATCTCCTTGGGATTCCTGTTCACTGATTCCCCATCTCCCAACAATGAACCTTCAAACGCCTCTTCTATCCTCCCTGCCTTCACAAGCGACCACGCCCAATCTGTGATCAAAAACGACCGCGATGTCCCCGAGGAAGACAAGTCAAGGGCCTTCCTTCCGCACATTATCTCCAAAACCACCACCCCGAAGCTGTAAACATCGCTCTTCTCAGTCAATTGCCCATAAAGCGCATACTCGGGGGCTAAATACCCATGTGTACCTGCCACTCGTGTCGTGACATGTGAATGCCCTTCTCTATTTTGCTTGGCTAATCCAAAATCAGCAACTCTAGCTCTCATATCACCATCTAAAAGTATGTTTGTGGTCTTAATATCTCTATGATATATTGCAGGCTTGACACCATAATGCAAATAAGCCAAAGCCTTTGCCACATCAAGAACTATGTTCTTCCTCTGAGGCCAACTCAATGGTTTTCGCGGAGATGATGGAAATAAATGGTCATTGAGGTTCCCATTCGGCATGTAATCGTAAACGAGGTACCTCTCGCTTTCTCTCTCTCCAAATTCGTCATTGTCTTCGCCCACTACGCAACAGCCTCTGAGCGGAACCAAGTTCCGGTGCTTCAGAGTACTAATGATCTCAACTTCATTGTAGAATTCAGAATTGCCTTGAAGATCTGATTCAATGACTCTTTTCACAGCAACCAATCTTCCATCTGGGAGAGACCCTTTGTAGACAACCCCAAATTGTCCTCTCCCAATCATGTTTTTCATTGAAAAATTATCAGTAGCCCTCTCTAGGTCTTGGATTTTGTACCATATGGACCCCGCCTTCGGCCGCCACCACCGGTCGCCATGATCATCCACCTCAAACCCAAAACTTGAAAAAACTTTTGCAGATTTGGCCCAACTTTTCCACCAAAAGTACAAGCCCAACAAACACGATAGGGCTAGAACCGCAACACCGGCACCGGCCGAGCCGTAAACTAGGGCTTGGTAGGTCATGGTGCGTGATTTTGAACCACTTGGTAGTGACATTGGGAGCCCCAAGATGCACGTTAGGGCACCCATGCTTTTTGGGCCATCAAGATTGATGACACCAGCAGCATAGAGAACTGTGTACTGAAAGCAACTCTTGGAATGGGAGCTATTGCCATCAATTGAGAGCAAGTGGGACTGGGCCTGGAAGCCCGCCAGGACACAAGCGTCGCAAGCGATGTTGTTGGTGAGGTCGAACCGGCAGGCTAGGTCAAGTGGGCTACTATGCCCGGCCCGTTCGACCCAGTCCTGTTTGGTTTGGATGTTGGCACATGTGTTGGTGGTGTTGACATAGGTTTGGGGATCAAGGCATTTGGAAGTGAGGGTTGGGGGGAGAGAGAGGTTTGTGAGCTTGGCTTGGAATGAAGAGAGGCATGAATTGGAGGTGGGAAGGTCTGGAAGCCTGAAGAGAGAGGTGTCTCTGAGGTATTGCGACATGGCAACACCATAGAGGCTGATGAGTGTTTGGCAACATGTGGTGGTGGGGGGAGAGACTGTTTGGTTGCAGGCAGAGGAGTCCCATGGGATTGAGAGGACATAGTCTAGATTCAAAGGGCATGATGATGAAACTGAGGGGAGAGATAGAAGGTAAAGAGAGAGTGTTGATATGAGTAGAAGATCAAAAATCTTGTCCATTTTTGTGGCTTGAAGAGGGGAGGGAGAGAGAGAGAGAGAGAGAGAGAGAGAGATTATCCAGGCAACATTTTATATTTCAACTTTAAAAATAGTTAAAAAATTAGTTCAATAAAATTAATCGCATAGTAAATTTCAACTTTATAAATAGTTTAAAAAAAAATTAATAAAAAAAAAAAAAAAAAAAGAGTTCACATTCAACTAATCAATTATGGTGAGGTTTCACACTTAAAATTCATCAAGAAGAGTACACATGGCCCAATCAGACTTTTATTTGATTTGAACAAGCTATTATTTTGACCTTTCCAAACCACTCAAGCTTTCAATTTTGTTTTTTTAGGCTTAAGATTTTTTTTTTCTACATTTCTTCATCCAAATCAGTCAAATTATATTTGATTCATTGAAATAGGGATAGAATAAAATAAAATAATCATTATTAGTCTCACAATAAAATTATCATTTTTTTCAGTGCCATCATTTAACTTGTAAGTTTTTAATTTGAGCTAGCCAATTTTCATAAATAAATTTATGTAATCCAATTCATCAATAGATGTAAAAAAACTCAAGTCCATTAGAGCATCTATAATGAATGTGTTTAGGAATATGTTAGTATAAAAAGTTAGGAAAAATAAAATAGGGATAGTTTTTTTTGTTGTTCCAATGGAGATATTAAGGGATTTTTGTTTCAAATGATATATATAAAAAAATTGTATAAAAAATGCATAGAATAATATAACAAAATTGTATAAAAAATACATACAGAATAATATCACAGAATTGTAAACCAATCATTAGAAAGCGAAGAGGTCCTGAAAATACATTTAATTACAAAATTAACATTGGTATGTCATTCTTATGGACAAAATTCTGGTAAGATAGCATTTTCGTATCATATGAAAATGTGATACGTCATATGTTAGCTGGTCTTGCACTTCAACCTTAAATAAATGATGGCGGACCACGCATTTAATAACATAATTTTCGAAGTTTTGAGTATCGATTGTGTTATATGTATTAATTGATATATTAATTAGTGTACTAACATATGTTATGACAATATTACTGATCTCACCTATTATACAAATAATAAATATTCAATTTCTAAAATTAAGTTACATCATTTATTAGTAAACTAATTGGTACATATAGTATTATTCTGTAGGTATTTATAATTTATATAATGGTGGTGCTACATACACTAATTAGTGTACACTAGTTATGACATTATTATTGATCCCATTCATTAATCACATTATAAATATCAAAAACTCGTAAATTATGTCATATCATCAATTGATATATTAATTAATGTATATAACATTATTATTTATATAACAAACGAAATCAATAATAATATCATAATATATATTAAACACTAATTAATATATGCACCACGACTGGCTGTCATCATCAGTTTTCATTTTCATAAATTAGAAGTTTGAGTCGTCTTGTGATTGGTCAATGTTAATAAGCAAACTTCGCAAGAGAAGGACCACACAACACAACCACTCATATGTTGTATGGTTGGCTTAGCTTGGCTTCTTTGACTCCTTGTCCTCTCTTTCATTTGTTATTATCTCCGTTGCTTCGTTTGGGAAGTCAAGTATGGACTTTTTCAGTTATTTTAATCACAAAAAATAAAATAAATTTTTTAATTTAATAAAATAAAATATTATTTTTAACTCACAATTATTATATTTTTTCTCTTATAAAAAAATTAAAAAAAAAAAAACTAAAAATCAAGTTTATAGAATTTAACTAGATTGAAATAACTAAAAAATTAAAAAGTCAACCTACTTCCCAAACCAACCTATTATGTCATGTTTTGTTCTTTCTTTGCATGAAGTATCCCAAATTTTAAAAACTAAAAATAAAAAATCAATCTTTGATTTCGAGTTTTTAAAAATAATTTTTTAAAGTATTTTTTTTAATCTTATTATGTTGTCTTTAATCACCTTTTTTCATATTTTAATTAATTAATTTTTTAAATATACTTAATTTAAATATACTTAAAAATTAAAATATTTATAAAAAAAATCTAAACGGAATTCAATAAATACAAACAAATACGAAATATTGAATTTTTGTGTTTTTTTATTATTTATTATTTAGTAAAAAATATTAGATTTTTCACAAATTTTATACCACATTTTAAGTGTATATGGATTAAGTGAATTTAAAAAGTAAAAAAATGATTAAAATGTTAAAAAAAATTCACTAGAAACCTAAAAATAGGAATTAAAAATTCAAAAAATGATTTTGAAAAATATTTAGAATTTGAAATTTATAAACAATATTTATTGTAGTTACCGCCCCACGAAGTTTAAATTTATGCAATAGATTTCAAATTCGGGATACCTTTAGGGTACTAAGCATTTTTGAAAAATAAAAGGTAAATTATACTGATCAACTCTGACATTTAGGAAAAGTTTGTGAGTCTCGTAAGTTTGGTATAATTACACCGATTTTTTTTAGTAAAAATTAAGTGATCAAAATTAATCCAGGTGATATATAAACACACAAATAAATAAGATAAGATATATGTTTTAGTGCAAAAATATGATAGCATCAATTTTTTTCCATTCACACAATTACTGATGAATTAGTGACCAAAAAAAAATTGTGTTATATCAATTAAGACCTTGACATAATCTAATATAATTATGTCAAAGTTGTGACATATATTTTTATCAAATCTAAAAGGAGATTAACGTAATTTACTCAAATTAATGTAACAATCAATATTAAAAAGCTTACTAAAATTTTAAAATGTGGGCCTTGTAAAACGCGTGGGCCGATCCAACTTAGCTCGGTTTTCTTTTTTGGGGGCTTGAATCGGGCTCGGAATGGGATCTTAAAAAGCCCACGACTTAGCTGGGCATACCTCAGACCTAAGTTGGACTTTTGCCAGGTCCTTCAATTCTCTCTTATTTATTATTATTGTTTTTTTATCATTTTAGAAAATTTAATAAACATAACTAAAATTATAAATAAAAAAAAATTAGTGTAATTTATCCTAATACAATTTTTTAAGGGGACTTGTGTGTAGATCCTAATAGATAGACTTATTCTCTAATAGGTTCTGTAATAATTAATGACATTTTTCATTAAACACTATTAAAAAACGTTACTAATTGTTAATTTTAGACAGTTTGAAAATTGTCATAAAAAATGTCACTAACTATAAGTTTTAGTGACAGTTTAATAAAATTGTTATAAAAAAAGTTACTAATTTTCAATTTTCAATAATAGTTTGAAAAATTTATCACAGAAAAGCGTTACTAATTGTAAGTTTTATCAACAATTTATAAGAATCATGACAAAAAAAAATCACTAATTATCAATTTTTAGCGACATATATAAAAAATCGTCAAAAAAATGTATTTTTAACATGAATTTTATTAAGACTTGTTTTTATTAAGACTTCATAGGAATTAATTCCATTTAGTGGAACCTATTGTTAGGTTATTCAATTTTTTACATCTAATAAGATAATTTCAATATATGGCTTAATACATTTGAAAACAAAACATGACAAATCTCATTTTTTTTTGGGCCTAAACACGTGGATGAATCCATTTTAAAGTTTTTTTGGGGGGACGGGGGGAGGGGGTTTCTATAATGTGTTTTTCAAAATAAAAATAAATAAATAAATAACAAAAACACAATCAACGAAGCTATATTGGGGGTGTTTGGCGTGACTTATTTTGGTCAACTTATAGATTCTAGTTTTGAAAAAGTTATTTTGGACTGTTTGGTTAAACTTATTTCAAACAGTTTCTGATTCTAACAACTTATTTTAACTTAAAAAAGTTGATTCTGAGAAGCTGCTCACCCTTTGCTTCTGATTATCAGCTTCTGCTGTGGACATATTAATTTAAGATTATACTTTTAGATTTTTTTATTTTTTATTTTTTAAAACATAGAAAAAGTCTCAAATGGATTATGAATTATTATTTTTTTTTTTATAAGAAATGTAGACAAATAATGAATAACAAAAAATAAAAGTTAATTCAAAAAATTATTTCACGGCTTATTTAACAAACACTACTAAGCAACTTAAATCTATATTCTAACAGTTACATCAAACAAATTAACAGTTTTTGATTAAAGTCATAATTTATAATCTGTTAAGTTATAATCTATAATCTGTTTTAAAAACAACACCAAACGGGGCCATTGTATGCTCTCTCCAAACCAGCATTACAGTGTAATTGCATGGTTTAACCACTTAATTTTATGGGAAGCACTATGGTGTACACCATATCTATATATATATATATAAGGAAAAGAGATTTTTTAATGAGAAGCCTGGTAGGAGTTTTAAATTCTCATTCTAATTTTCTTGATTTTTTTAATTTTAAACAATTAAAAAAATCTCTATCGGGAAAAAAAAATGAGTTGTTTTACTCATATAAATTTAATCTTTTTTTTTATTTTTATTTTTTTAAAAATAAAAATAGTCCCAAATGAAATATGAATCATTATTTATTTTTTTTTTATGAGAAATGTAGACAATTAGTGAATAACAAAAAATAAAAGTTAATTCAAAAAATTATTTCACGGCTTATTTAACAAACACTACTAAGCAACTTAAATCTATAATCTAACAGTTACACCAAACAGATTAACAACTTCTGATTAAAGTCATAATCTATAATCTGTTAAGTTATAATCTATAATCTGTTTTAAAAACAACACCAAACGGGGCCATTGTATGGTCTCTCCAAACCAGCATTACAGTGTAATTGCATGGTTTAACCACTTAATTTTATGGGAAACACTATGGTGTACACCATATCTATATATATAAGGAAAAGAGATTTTTTAATGAGAAGCCTGGTAGGAGCTTTAAATTCTCATTCTAATTTTCTTGATTTTTTTAATTTTAAACAATTAAAAAAATCTCTATTGATTGACTTTTATTTGATAATCTCATATTGGGAAGAAAAAAAAAATGAGCTGTTTTACTCATATAAAGTAAATCTTATATTCTCATCTCATTTAGTGAGAAGCCTTGTGACAATTTCAATATCTCATTTTAATTTCTATTATTAATTTTA